ATATATATATATGATGATGATGATTGATGTTATTTGATGTTCAAAGCATAAAATTCTGGAATAGTAAACTTAAGTAATGACTTCACGTTGCTTTCCGTCGGAATGATGCTTTGGGTTCCGGGAATCAGCCGTATGTTAACAACTATGTTCAGGTTAGTGAAGTATTATCATTCAAACATTTAAATAACATAGCCCACGAGCTGGTTTGGATGACATGTCATCCGAAGTCATCCGAAGTAATCAAGACATGGACCATTTTCTCCCATTAACAGCTGGGAGCTGCAAGATATCATCCCCCTGGTCGAATGTAATGATACCTCTGACATTTGCTAATCCCTCAATTCAGCTTGGATACATCTACAGTTTCCATAGTGGTTGGATGCTCCACTGAAAGGTCCTTGGCCAGGCCGGACTCAAATCTGGGAATGGAACATCCCATATTTTGCAGATGTTCCTTCCAGGTTTTTGAAGCTTTTTCGCGTGGCAATTCCTGGAGATATTGTTCCAGTTTGTACAGTGGAAGATCTTTCACCCATATTCCATGCGTTTTTTTTTCACAAATATTCCGATGTTCAAAACCAATGTTAGATGAACTTATTCATTACATCATGTTAGATAGTTATATCATCTAACATGATCTAACATAACCAATGTGTTCCCATCTTTTTCCAGATCTTTCCCATTCCAACTGATGAATTTCCGTGACAGTCACGAGGTGCCACGGGCTGGCTGGGCAACTGGGCTCCACCCTCGAGGCCCAGTCAGCCCAGCGTGCCGCCAGCGAGTTTCAACCCCAACGTGCCGCTGCCGAGCGCCGGGATGATGGATGCAGGAGCTGCAGTGAGTGGCGCCTCTTTTTGTTGAAGATCTGTGGGTATGTCTGAAAATGGGGTATACCCCCAATTATCGCCATTTAGTAGGGATAATGATCATTAACCATTGGGTGTAGGGGTACACTATTTTCAGACAAACCCGTGTAGGTTTTTGGGAATCAAAATGCGGTAGAAGCCCAAAAAAAAATCACTTTTTTTTCAAAAAGAGTTCTTGAACACAGCCGGAGGGGTTGGTACTTTATGGATTTGGGATCTGCAGTGAGAAGCAACGTGCTCTGACGGGTGATGGGCGTTGTATGTGGCATTTCACATGCTGTCAGCCAGCAGAATGCCACTCTGTTCATTATCCTGCAGGAAAGGGCAGGATCTATCATATCCGAACTCGCCTGATTCCCAGCTTTAAAACAGACTTGAAAGCAGAACAGTCATCTCTTTCTTGAAGGTTGAGCAGGTTATGCCTCAGCCACTGGGGGGTTTCAGCAGATCATTGTTTTATCTTTGAAACACGGACAAAAACAAGCATGGTGTCTAATTGCAAACTGGACGAAACCATCACTGTCCGCTGTGGCGTCCTTCAGTGCATGCAATTGTATCCTATTCCTCTCAATAGTTCTTGATTCCTTCACAGCCTAAATCTGAGCAAAAGTTTGGCTGCAGCCCCGACACTCTTCCACCCTCGCCTTGTGCACGTTCCACTGAGGCCAAATGGCCTACCTGCCACCCACTGCGGACACTTACCCACACCACATTGAACAGAAGCGAATTTATGAAAAGAAGGCCAGGCTAGATGTCCCACTAATACTTGCCGTGTTGTACTGAAATCAGTTGGACCACAGACCCTATTGGGATCTATTTAACTTTCATCCTGGGGTTTCCTTTGATCTAATTGTGAGAGGACCATTATATAGTGCGTTTTGGTGTAGCGAAGCTGAACACAATTTGGGTCATGTTTGATACTCACATCCCTCTGTTTGCTGCTGAAAGTCTGTCTAGTCTAACTGGTCAAACTCTGCCTCCGAATTGTTAAAGCATCTTAATCCGCATTTTTGCATCCTTAGAATCTGAATGCCCTTGTTTTGCAGTCTCCCATTTTGGAGGCTCGAGACCTGCGAATGAAGCATCGCCGAGAGGAGAAGATGGAACAGCAGTGCCGGGATATGAGATGGAACAGTGGTGGGAAGCACCGCCATGGAGATTTTGTCCAAAAATGGGGGGAAGGGAATGGCCGGTATAGCTATAATTAACGAACATGGTGAGATTATGTGAGATTCATCTATTTCTGGTTGGCGCTTGGGACCATTGGTGTTTCCAAATTGGCATGATGATGCCAAGACTGTGTATCATGCAGGGTGGATCGAAACCACCAAGCAGTACATAATACTCGTAACATAAGAAGGTCAGGCTAAAACATGGGTATCTAAGCAATGAAAGTATGGGAAGCTGAAGATTTTAAGTATCATTGGAATCTTTTTTATTTTTACAGGTAAACAAGTGCAGAATTTTGTCGTTCAAGTGCAAAGGGGGCAATGGAACATGCAACCATGATATGCCTTCAATTTGATTGTCACAGCGTAACCAACAAAATTGGAGATGGTAGCGAATAGTAGCTAATCAAGAGAATCCAACAGCAGGATTTGCTAGCAAAGACATGCACATGATCTTTGCTATACAACAGTCTTTGGCTGTAGTTTTACTCCTGAAACTGCTGCTGTGAATTTGTGATTTTCAGATGTTATATGTCATACATGTTTATTTGATTGGTTGAGCATCCTTCATTTTAGGGGGGAGAGCGTTCTTCCTGATGAATGAACCTTGATTCATGTCTTGCTCCCAATCCTGATCCAAATAGCCAGAGATATATGAACAGATCACCATTTGCCATTTGGAGGTTTCAGTATCTTCAATAACCTGAGGTCATAGCAGGCTGAATCTTAGGCTGTTGCTTTCGCTGAGGCAGCCATAGACTGAGATCCCTGGATCTTGGGCCGCCAAACGGCGCCTCAAAATCTCAGGGACTTGAAAAAAATGGATTCAATCGGAACCCTCTAGGGAGGGTGACCAAACCTGTACAGATCTATATCTTTTTTGCAGGGGTTGCCTAAGATGGTGAAAAAGAGGACATAATGACAGCTAACATCAACAGTTGTTTTTCCAGCTCAGAGACTTACTTATCTCTTTTGAATGTGGCAATCCAAATGCCAGGGAGACACCAGCAACCCCTGCGCAAGGCGCCAAAGACACCTTCGATTCGGCATTTTTTCAGGCAACCAGGTCCCGGACAATGGCTGCTGTGAAAGTTGCCACGGTTGGTGATTTTGTACAGTGGAGCAGCTGCGCCGCGTGGTGTGTTAAAATGGGCCACCCTGAGTCAGAATCTCTTGGGAGCACGAAGAGATACTAAGAGGGGGGTTACTTGGAGCATTTCTGTGTGTCATTCTAGACTTGGTGATGTCATGCTACCTTTTCCACTCAGTTGCAGAATTTCATAGAATTTCGAAGGTACTCATGGCAGGTCAGCCATCAGTTGCATGCAGCAGACATGGTGTTTCTAAATCTTCATAATTTGCAAAGTTGCATGTACAACATGGAGAGTTCTCAATAATCGGATTCTTTCTTTGCTTTCCTAAACTTCACACATGCTGGTTGGTGGTTTGGAACATTTTTTTCCATATATTGGGAATAATGATCCCAACTGACGAAGTCATATTTTTCAGAGGGCTTCAAACCACCAATTAGAATTTATTGTGTATATTATATGTATAATCATTGGTCATTTCCATTTTCGGATTTTCCGGATGTCCCGAACCCCTTCCAGATCCAGACCCAGACCCAGATCCAGGGCCGGACTCAAGACACTAAGATCACTAAGGCCTGAGAAGTTGAACCAGGTGGCAGGAAGTGGTGGCCCATCAGGGGCCTGGGACCTCAGCTGGAGCCGCTGTGAGTCGCTGTGAAGAATCAGCAAGACCTGAAAGCCAAAGTCCTTAAGAACTATAGTAACTATAGGCTATTTGTGGTAGATATAAGATGTTAGTTAGATGATAGTTAGAAAATAGTTAGATGATAGTTAGACGGGTATTAATACATCAGCATTTTACAAGTAGACCTGCAGGTGACCGTAGTGTTTTTTTTTCAACCGAAAAAGGTGAGTTCCCACAGATCACAGCTGTCACAGTGCTGTCACAGGCAGCAGCTGTCACAGCTTACCTCCAGGAAGAAGCGTTCGGAAGCCCAAAGATGGGGGGATGCCATACGGCGTACCTGAAAATTTTGGGGAAACCCCCTGAATCCATTGGCTAGCCATGATTTTCTCGTTAACGTGGCTATTCTGGGCTATACCCAGTTTTTGGACATACCCACATCAAAAGGCCATATCAGGCATCCCATAATTGGGAATGCCACACATTGGGATGCCAGATACTCAAGGAGAACAGGGGGCACCGCACAACTTCCTTCTAGTACCTTCTAAGATTGCAACTGGCTATATCTAGTGAGGGATTACCTCGCAATTGGTGCTTATATTTGTCTTATTTGTATCAGTCATATCCAAGAATTTGCTGCCCTATGCCCATCATCATTTCCTTCCTAGTCGCCACTTATTTCTCTAGGTAGTTTTCGTTCAGGCAGAAGGCCTTCTATCGAAAGCTGGAGATGATTGAAGGAGCTGGGCAGGATTCTCAGACGTGGCCTCCAGGTGACAAAATGGGGGGAAACACTAATGCAGGGACCCAAAAACCATGGTTCTTTCAGTGGTGAACACCACTGAAATAGGCTAGTAACTTGGGATGTTTACCCTCTGGTAAACAAACATAGCTATTGAAAATGGCCATTTATAGTTGATTTTCCCATTAAAAATGGTGATTTTCCATAGCTATGTTAACGTTTACCAGAGGGTAAATGGGGTACCAAGTCAATGCCACAATTTCTCTCAGGTTGCGGAAGCCAGCGCGTCACTTTCATTTCGAAGACATGACTTGATTCACTGAATGGATATGATATGTTTTTTCCAATGCCAAGACAAGTTTCTAGGTTCTGGGATTTTCCAACTCTGATTGGTATGGAGTATCAACACTTTTTCATGAAAACATATCAAATATTTCAGAGTCCAGGTACACCACAAAAAAGGAATCAAGTGTATTTGAAAGCTTCTATAATTCCATAGATTTAATGCCTGTTGGACTGGTATGTCAGCTTCGTTATGATGGCGGTGGTGCTTTACTCTACCGCGCCTCTGAAGATTCAGTGGTGCCTTTCTACACAGCCTCCTGTCGCTTGCTGATTGGTCAAAAGGTGACGTTCTCCCTGCACCAATCGGTAGGACGAGCGGAGGCGGTGGATGTCGCCTGTGTAGAGACTTGTTCCTCAACATTGGAATCAAAACCTCAACCACCGAAGCATTTTCTGCAAGAACCACAGCTCTTCCGGGTGGTTTCATCAGATAGCACGGCTCAGCTTCCACTTTCCAGAAAGCTGCAGCGCAGCGTTTTCCGATTTCACAACGCCACCCGGGAGGAACGACTTGTGATGCTAGGCCGAGCAGAGGAACGTCTGGAAACTGCGATGAGTTCATCCCCGCTGGATGGTGCCCAGCTTTGCCGATTGGTGAATCGCTGTGCTGGATGGCTTCATGCCGTGTCGCTGGACCGAAGGACCAGTGGCCAAACCGGTGAGGGAAGGGACAGCGGGGATGGCGGATGCAGCTTGCAATGGCGGGTCCGGAAACTGCTGATCCGAACGTTGGAACAGCTGGATCTGGCAGATGCCGAGACTTTTCAACTGCTTGAGGCATCTCTGACCTACATTTGGCACTTACTGTCCAAGGTGCACTTGGACCAATTGGGAACCACTCTGTCAAGGGCGGGAAAGCAATGGTATCAGCTGCAGTGTTTGTTGGGGGCCACACAACTGGAACAATCCGAAAGGACACTGAGCCATGGCAAGATTGAAACTCAAGCACTGACAGATTCACTTCCTGATGGTCAAGGTGACAGGGGCGCAGGCACTGGAGTGTATCATCCACAAGAACGCGTCCGAAGGTTACCATCAGTCTTTGAATCCGAGAGGGTGCTGCTGCAATGCCCTGCATGTGGCACGGTGATCCACAGTACTTGGCGTTGGCGGCACCCGGTGAATGGAACGCTTCACGTCTTGGTCCCTCACAATGGCCATGCTGCCTGTACCAAAAAGGTGGGTAGGCGATGTCTGTGGCAAGTCTTGGGTTCGATGGCGCCCAAGACGGACCACTTTGCCCACCTGGTGTTTTGCAAACACCAGCGTCGCGAAGGGATCTGCAAAGACTGTGGAGGACGGGAAATGTGCATCCACCACCGGCAAAAAGCCAATTGTAGGGTCTGCAAGAAGCTCCCTCGCGAAAGATTGACCAAAAGGATCCAAAAGGTAGTTCTGAGTTGGAGCATCAAATTGCAGAAGCACGGCAAAAATGTTGCTTAAACTGCGAATCCAATAAAACACAAGGAACAAAGTACTGTATTGGCACAATCACTACAGCATTCTTGTAGTATAAAATGGAATATCATCGAATATTCTATGGATATATAAATAATTATAGTATATTAAAGTATTAAATCGTTTCACAATGTTTCATATGTGATTGGCATTTATTTACACTCGTGTACATCAACCGAATCTCATCGCTCCAACTCCTGAGATCACGTTGACCGAGGCCTGGCCTGACGGCCATGGTGACGCGACAGGTGGGGTTGACGGGGTTGACCCAACTTTGAGGGCATGTTTGCTGCGGAACATGTGGAAAACATATGGTAAACCATGCAAAAACCATGCAAAAACCATGGAACACATATGGTATTTTGGTGGTACTGAAAATTTTCATACAAACCTGACTTGGAATGGGTTTGTTTTTGGTTTGTTTGGCCCCTTTCGGAGAATGTTTCATGACCAACTTGCAAATGATCTGTTTCGGAGAATATTTCAGGCAGATGTGTTGGCACTGAGTCAGTTGGTACCTTCTGACTTGTTTTGGTAAACTAGCATAATTTGAGAATATACTCGTTTTCCTCCACCATGTTTAACATCCCCGACGCGGATACTTTTCAAGCAACTGGGGTCCAAATCCAACAGCAAGTGGCATGCCAGGAGCCTTCAACAAACGTGATGTCGGCGTCCCCCAAAGTTGCTGAATGTAAGGAACAGTATAACCATAATAACCATAATATAGTGATCAATGGTTGGTAAGTCAACTGGGAGGTTGTTATACTTTTCCTATTGTTTCTGTCCAGGTGCTTTTGATGCAGTGGGAGCCTTAAAACGGAGCCTGGACGGATGGGTGCCATGGATGAAGCTGGTATCTCACGATCGACCAGTTGTTGGTGCTATAATTTGGCTCCCAAATTCTCCAAATTCACAGGAAATCTGGTATGTCCATGTCTTGGGACCCCCCAAAATCATCCAAGTGAATGCCACACCTTGAGGTTGGACACCTTCTGGCAGCAACATTTGAAGAACATGGATTTTATGAAGTCGGGGCCCTTCCAGTGGCTGGGGGTTGTTTTTTGTCAGACAAGGTGAGGTAGCAACAAAAACAGGTGGTAGCTGTGGGAAGGGGTTAAGAGATCCACTTGTGGCTTACATGTCCAAAGGCTTTCCTTTCGATGTTGAAGGTGCGTCGGGGCTTACAGAACCACAACAATAGTACAGTATTGGGGATGCAATAGCTGAATTTGAAATGGCAAGATGGTTATAGCTGAACTGCTCTGCTAACGGGAACCAAAACCGCCATAGGTGATTCATAATATAGATGACTTGTTTTGGAAGCATACTTGGGTGAAGTGAGAGTTCCCATGCTGTCCCACAAAATATGAATGCCATAATGCCCCAGTCGCGAGCTGCCCTTTTTTTTTGGCGGTGCATCCAAGGACTGGCATGACGTTGCGTGCGTACGGCCAGGGGACCTCAGGGGGGATTGAAAACATTGTACCAGGCCATAGCGGCTACAGCTCCTGGTGTCATTGGTGTCATGTGTTGATTCCCAAAAGTGCACCGGGTCCTAAATCATCACCTCATAGAAATGAACATGAAATCCATCATCTGAAATCTAGTACAGCTTGCCATGAGGAGCATCCTTTTTTGGATGTTTGGATAGCCTCAAGGGCAAAACTTGAAATCTGGGAGCGTAAATCCTGCCCCCTAAGAACCCAGCAAAAAGTGTAGGTCCCAGCAGGTTCCAGCAGACTTTTTTTGGGGCGCTACCTCTTAGGCCAAAAGAACCCTCTGACCGAGTACAAACTGGAGGCTGGAAATCATGGCACTCAAAAGCACAAACATTTCCTCTGCCGATACCATAGCAATTCGGCTTCGTGTGCAAAGAACATCAAAGAGTAAGTGATTTTTGAACATGTAAGTAAACTTATATAACTTTGTTCATTGTGTTCAGGGGAGTAGAGTGGGATTCACCAATTTCTATTTTATCCATATCCAGTGCCAGTGTCCTTGCAGAGACGTGAGGATGAGTTGTGCTTCTGTTTCTTCCTCTTTCCTGCATTGGAATTTCAAACGTTCCTCGTCTCCACATTGCTGTTTGAAATAATTACTTCGCCATCACATCATGATGGTGTTGCGATCCCAGAATGCTAGTGGCACTATGTATTTCCGTGTGGATGATGATATCTATTGACCTTTGGCATCCTTTGGCTGTCGGCAGGGCTATCAAGTCTTCCTGAAGATGATGTCCAAGATCAGGCCGCACGGCCCAACGTCGTTGGTGGGAGATCGGTGCCACCCAGCAACAGCCTGTGCTGGGGATGGGGGATGGTGCTGAGGCGGAATGGCTTGTACAATGTCTTCCTGTTCCAACCGCGAAAGCTGACACTTGGCTGCCTTGATCGAAGTCGTTACGTCGTGCACTGTGAAGCACAGTCACAAAGGATGATTCAGGATGCTTTGGTTTGGTCCTGAAATTGATTTTCTAAAAGACTATTGGATCCCCTGTCGAGTGCATCTGGAATTCTGAAACCACAGTTTCGACAGTTTGCTGACGGTTTTCTTCTAGACTTGGTTCAGTAAGTAATCGTCCTTGCTGCTCCTGATCCGTCAAAGTTTTTTCTCTCAGGGAGGCCGCAGATCTCTTCTGGTTGGTGGTTTGGAACATTTTTTGTTTTTCCATAAATATTTGGAATAATCTTCCCAACTGACTAATATTTTTCAGAGGGTTTTCAACACACCAACCAGTTTTCCAAGAGATCTTTGTAATTAATGGCGAGGGAAAGAACTCACACCAAGGGAGATGACACTGAGCTGATACTAATACTCCATGGACCCAAATGAAGACCAGATCTCTGATGGTCAAACAACAGAGGCGGACTGACGCGTGGCCTGCTGGCAATTTCCTTCATAGTTCAGGATTGGATGAACATAGCAGAGTATTGAAGAAACATTAGCTCTTCGATTTGGCCATGTTTTGATGTCGTGTGATTGATTAGGTTTTAGAAATTTGCCTCTGGTCACTGCAGACAGCTGGAGATAACATCCCAGTCAGGCACCTATATGCCCAAATATTTGGCTCCACAGAACCCCCAAAACTTGGTTCCCATGTGGCGAGCTGCCAACCTTCGGTGCGGCAACGATGGTGCTGCTGGATTGCGTTTCCGGAGTCGTCTCATGGGGTCTCCGAACGGGCGTGGATTGCCTAGGCGGTGCTGTGCAAATGCGATGCAGAAGCAGAATCAGCAGGGAGATCGTTGAGCCGCTGGAGAGTAGACTTTGGGAGCACCTTGGTGCTGAGATGTGTTGTTTGTGCCTATTTTTCATGGGAATCCTCCAGTGAACATCAATCTAAAACCATTCTAAACCTCAACAAATAGGTGATGTAGCTGTTTGCAATGGGTTGCAGGGTTGAAACCATCCACAAGGCGTGTTCGTTGCAGAGACACTTGCGAAGTGGGCAAGATCTCTGGCGGCGAGTCGATGGAGTCACTTCTAAGCGGCGAGGCCATCCGGCAGGAACTCAGGGACACCAACTCGAACCTCGAAGAAACGGTGACAAAGTGCACCAGGAAAGCCAAAGCCGAGATCAAGAAGTGGGTGACTTGTTGGTGGTTTCATGTATGTGTTGATTCTTTGTTGTATGGCACCCCTAACTTTCAAATCCCAATCGAAATCAATTTTCCATGCTTCCTTTGGGTAAGTTTTCAATCCCAATACATCTGAGTTTTGAGTTTTGACCATGAATACTGCGATATGTTGGGTGCTGGGCCAACTCATACCATCTTATACCTATACAGTTTACAGTCTAGATAAAAGACATATTTCGCCGAACAAATCCCACAAATCCATCAGTTCCCAACCCTTCACTAAGGTCATTTTCTTCGTGAGTTTCACCGGGCACGGCAAATCCACCCTGATCGGCCACGCCTTGAAGCAGCTCGGCGTCCGCGGACCTCTCCCGGCCACGGGCGCCAGGGGCTCGGTGACCAGGGCGGTGCAGGGCTACGCGGCGACGGTGGATGGATGGACCATTGGAGGCCCCATAGGATGGGGGAAATCATCCAACTGGCCGAAAAATCTTAATTTTTTGGGTTGGGGAAATATGATGGGTTTAGAGAAGTTGGGTGGTGATCATGTGCCGTGTATCCCAACTTCGAAGGATTCTTGAGGTACTTGGAAGTGGTTGGGGTTAATTCAGGGTATAAGCATGATAAACCCCCATAAATTGAGATAGAACCCTTACTAATTGTGGACACATCCACTCAGTAAGTGGGCTCCCAAAAAAAGGTTTGGAATTGGGTGGGAATTTCCGCTGTTCCATCCATTCTTTTGGATACCCAAAGTTGCCCCATTTCCCCTTGTAGATTGGGTGTTTCAAGGCTGCCTCGGGTTGGGGACCTTACTAGACCTGGCAAAAAATCAACCACTTGCCGGATTGACACAGAGATTTTAGTCCATCCTGAGAATGGTTTTCACATGGTTTTAACTATTATTAACCACTATTAACCACTATTCATCAACATAGAGATCACCAGTTATAACACTATTAACCACTATTAAACACACAATGTAAAGTTGAGTTTTTCCCTCACATCAACGTACATCTGGTGGACAAAAGCATCTCCCGCAGGGCGTGTTCCAACCGGCAGGTCTCACGGAGGAGGTGATCTTCATGGATTCGCCCGGATGGCAGTGGGGTTGTCCGCCAAAAGATGTTGAGGACCAGCTGGTCACCATGAAGGCCGTGGCTGAGAACATGGGGGTGGCGCCAGATGCCTTGAAAGAACGGCTGGTGGTGGTTCTGCTGCATAAAGCGGAAGATGTTGCGAGACTCGTTGGTGGATCAACTTGTCATTTTTCGGTGGTTACTCCCCACAAGATTGTGGACTTTCCGAGTTTTCCGTGTTTTTTTTTGCGGGATAATGTGGGAGCATTGAAGCACTGGCGAGGAGAGATGTGGAGAATCAGAACTTTAGTGCTTTTCTGGCAGCATTTTTCAAGGCGTGCAGAAATCAGAATGCTACTTTGGTACCGGTCCTGAGCAAAGCAGAGCCTCAGCGTTGCAGTGTAGAAGACTTGGACTTTGCGAAAAACCTATTGCAAACCAAGTTGGAATCTTTGAGCAAGGAGCACGGCAACTGGATGGCAGTTTGCGATGTTAGTTTGGTTTTCACCTCACTTGTCAAACAAACCCAGGTTTAGCTGATTCATATTTCGGCTGAGGGGGTGGTTAGCACCAACTGAACCAGGCGAATGTGTGACAGTACGTCCAGCTATGTGCTGGTCCAACAGCTCGAAGCCTTCTGCCGAACTTGACGATGCCCTGGCGAAGGCTTGCCATCAGCACCTCAAATCCGAAGCTGTTCGAGGAAAAGTCATGGAGAGTATCGAATCTGAGCTCCTGAAGATACTGCAAGACTGGGCAAAGAAAGGTGATTCGGTTGGAAAACTGGGAATGGGTCAAACACGACCATATTTGTGGGAGATACCCACATCCATTTATGAGCTATTTTGGGGTTCACCAGGGTGACCCACCAAGTAGCAACACCTGGGATTTTGGAATTCATGGTTCTTGTGGGCACCAGATGGGGTATGTTTGGGAGCCGTCAAACCCATAAGGTTGGATTTTCTTGATGTTGCTCATCTTGTGACATTTACCAGAGGTCAGCATGTCAGGTTCTTTGGGAAATCTGGTGGTTCATCATTATATTTCACCTTTAGATTCTGCCTCTTCTCTTCTTTCCTCCAGGCGATTCTCGGAATGCCTTGGCTAATCGTTTCGTGTGGGTCTGCGCGCGTCACCGCGGACTGCGGCTAAAGCAGGTGCAGCTCAATGAGGATACACCATGGGAGGATGCTTCCAAAGACGCATGGTGCTGAGTCCAGAAATGTTTTGGGTATTGGGTGGTTTCCAGGATTCTTCAACCTCGAAAAACTATGAAAAACTGGGATTGTCATCCAAATGTGGTGAGTTGAAAAACCACCCAGTGTTTGCTTCCTTGGGCCAAATTTCTATCCCAGGTGGTCGACAGCTTGAAGAAGGGGCCTCTGCGATATTCCCTGGAAGATGCCACAGATGACTGGCATAGCGATGAGTTGCGGTGGCTGAAAGCTCCAGTGACAGGTCCCGTGTGTTCCAGTTGCTCCAAGGACTCCAAGTCTCGTTGCTCACCGCCCATCTCTTCCAAACCACCCAGCCGGCCGGTGATGGCGGCAAGCTGCGGCAAGCAACCGCCCAAAGTAGGTGACCCAAAGTGGTCGCGGGAAGGAGTTAATGTTACTGATGTTTAACTGTGGAGCTAATGGCGACTGCGCAAAAGAGTTCGAATAGTCTGTGCAACGTGTGCAACGTGTGGCTACCTTGTGAAAGAGTGAAAGCTGATCTTTGGCTGATTTAAGATATTTAAGTTGCAGTAGGAACTTCCCAAAGGAGGGGTTTGGTCCTGTCGCATCCTCAGGACACCTATGTCGCGTGACCGCGTCAAGGCCCCGAGCTTGTGGGACGATGTGGTGATGGCTCCATGCAGAAAAACGGTTGTTGCAGGGTTGATGCAACGATATAGTCAGTGGGGAAGTGGGGATGTACACCTTCAAAGCGGCCAATCTTGGGCAAGAATATTGAACAATCAGAAACTGCTCATTTTTTTCAAAACAATCGTGTAACTTGTTGGTTTGTCTGAAAATAGGCTGCGCACCCCCAAAATCATCCAAAATCAACACTTTAAGGATTTTAAGGGGGAACATAGTGACTATAACATAACCATGAAATTTGGGGTATCCACATCCCAACCGCTTCGGCCAGGAGATGATTCCCAATCGCGAGGCGCGGCGGCGGCAAGTGCCAGGGCGCCCAGTGGAGTGAAGTTGGTGAATCAAACCTGGGGACCAAGTTTTGTTTACCAATGGGGGGAATTATCAATCCTAACTAGTCATCAACTATATGTGAATCTTGCTGAGCCAATATGACAAATTGATATAGAATGGATTCAGATGGCAACATTTGACAAGAAAAAAGGGGATGTTGATTTGAAATCAACATCTACCAGATTTGGTTGGCCATGATTTTGATTTTGGACAATTCATTGGATGTTTTTGGCCAAAATGCTTCGGCACCCAATATCATCCACCCAAGAATGATATATACTTTAATTCAGGCATGGGACACCCTTGGATTCAAATGCAAAAAAACCACCACATTAGACCACTCTATTGAAAAACAATGGCTTGGCACGAGAAAACATCATTGTTGAGCTGGCATAATAACAGAGGACTGCGACAAATGGGACCATCAACTTTCAACAAAGCCAGCCGATTACAAGTTTGGTAGCCCAACGTGCTGTTATTTTGAACATGGGAAATGTTTGCTCTCCATTTCAAAAACATGTTAGCATAGTTCTCCAGAAATACCATGGAATACCATGGACAATTTAATCCTAATAAAACTACCATATATGAATCCTAATAAAACCCATTTAATCCTATAGTAAAACATGGGGAATATCACCGCAGTTGAACAGTATATTATCAATAGGTTGTACATCTATATGTTCATCCCCCCAATGGATGTTGCTCAGGAAGGAGATCAAAGAGTCGGAAGCCTACAAGCTGGAAAAAGAAGCTCGAGGTGCTTCGGAGTTTCCCGAGTGTCCCGCTTGAAACAGGGGGAAAGATGCAATTAAGATCTATTAGTTTTTTTTGCTAGTGAAGCGTTTTTCATTGGGCTCCCAGTTGGGAAAATTCATGTACTGCGATAGGCGATAGTATGCGATAGTCATTTAATCTATAACGCATGTTGCAACCAACCAACTCCATTAAGTTATGGTCATTGGAAACCGTCAAAAGGACAGAAAGTGTGGACATTTCTCTGTGTCAAATTGGCTCGGGCGCTGAACCACTGGACATTTCCCGATTTGCCATGAGAACTGGGCACACCTAAAAGAATCGGATGGTTTCATGCCAACCTCCATGCACGGTTTTGTTTACTGGTTTGATGATATTCCCAAACCTTTGGCGTTTGTTTTTCCTTACATCCCAACATATCGGATAGTTTTTTTTTTGTTTTTTTCCTGGAAAAGGTTGATTTCACCACCTGTACAAGATAACACCATTGAGATAAACCTAGAAATTTCAACCAGCACGTGGTTTTTATCTCTTGGTCAGGTGTCGCCATCGACAAAGGTGCTGCTGCGCGAAGCATGAACCTAGCAAGGTGCCATGTGGCCCATGGGATCCAGGGATGATGAAGGGATGGCGATGATTGGAATTTGACTATGATGATATGAATTATGAGGATGATTCAGGCTTATATCGGATTTATTGTCATGAAGGTGAAACTTATATAACTTATATCGGATTTATTATGATGATGTCGAAGATCGCCCCAAAGAAGGGATTGGGGTCTCGTCACCAGATGGTCGAGTCGATGTCGGCAGCCACTGTGCAGGTTATCTCTGAACGTCCGACAAGTTTTAGAGGCGCGAGAAGGTGCAGCCTGTCCTGTCGTTCTGCAACCACCCATCACCACACCTGCCTTGTTCCATTCATTTTGTCCCAGTGTGGCGATCATTTTGGTTATTTGGAACATGACTTTTATTTTTCCATATTGAGAACAATCATCCCAACTGACTTTCATATTTTTCAGAGGGGCCGGGCAGGCATACCACCAACCAGTCATTCATTTTGTCACGATGTTTCAAACATAACTATGGAAAATCACCATTTTTTATGGGTTAATCCACTATTTCTATGGCCATGTTCAATAGCAAACTGTTAGTTTACCACCAACTTAGTGACTTTTCATCCCACCAACTTTCCGATGATTTAGCCATGGCTCCAGCTCCAGCTCTAAGTCAGCTGCAGGTTTGGGTGAGTTGGCGCTGGCGTCATTTTCCGAGCTCAAGGACAGGTCGTTTTGGTGATGGCTCATGGATACTCCGGGATATCCCAAGAATGATGAAGAAATCAGACGTGGCTTAGATTTAGAATAAATAACTGGTTGGTGGTTTCAAACAGTTTTTATTTTCCATAATATATGGGATAATCCTTCCCATTGACTTTCATAGTTTTCAGAGGGGTTGAAACCACCAACCAGATAACCATGATCTGAAATGATAGATGAATAGCAAAAAAACAATCCCAACTTTGCATCATAGCAGGCTGAGTATGATCGGATAGTGTGAATCAGCTGAGTTCAATTGTAGCGTGTTTATATCATTACAAATGTTGTTGCGGCCCCAACTATTGCAGGTTTATTCTTGAATATGTTTCATCCCAACTATCGTTTAGCCCAACTATTGCTAAGAGTTGGAGATGACACATAATTTCTATCTTGAATATTTATGAACAATTTATAATCTATCTATTATAGGAACTATTTATGAGGTATAGACTAATTCATCATCCCCAAGTATGTTTAAATGTTGATGAATCATTTTTATATAAATCATCCCAGACATGAGGTATAGACCATTAATCATCCCAAGGTATGGACCATTAATCCAACAATCCCCATGTCTGCCAGCTTCGCGAATCCTGAAACCAGGACACCTTTGCAAGGTCCGGGCTACTGACGCTGGGCGATCAGCTGGTCTGGGCACAGGCGACGACGTGGGCCGTGGCGACGAAGGGAGGAGACGTGGGTGACATCCCACGTGACGTGGGAAGGGGTTGAGATGGTGCAAAACTGACTTTTGTTTGGAACGTTTGCGGATGCAATCGACACAAAGTGGGGAGTGTATGGGATACGACCATGAAAAGAGAAGGATTTCCGCAACAGAAGCTTGGGGTGATTTGGTAATATTGGGGATGTCACCAACAGAAAGTGGACATCATTGTGGGTTTCATCAACAAGCATTGGGAATTTGCAGATGTGATGTTTGACCTCACCACTATTTGGATCGCCAGGCATGCAGCGAATTTGAGCTGCTGGAAGATGTGGCGACCTGAGTGGGAAGCGTTTCCAAATTGGTGACATGACATGGGAATTTCAAGGCCCAACAAAGTTATCGAAATCTCAGGTTTGGTGCTGAAAAAAATCGAAATCTCATGATCTATTCAATTTCAATATGATTTGAACGATTTGCCACCTTGAAAACCCATGGAGAAACTCCTGAAATCCATGGTTTCTCATCGGTTTTAGTGGCACTCAACTCGCTTCGGGCTGTCAGGAACTGCACGGGGAAGTCTACATCGGCCTCGTGGGCTGGAGACTGAGCGATCATCCAGGAGATCTGGACCACATTTGGACGGGAGAGTCATAATTCATCAATATAATGGTCATTGAGATGGGATTTGGATTATGAATAATTTATGGTTAATCAATGTTAATTATTCATTAACAATCATTATTCATTTGGATGGGATTTGGATTTATGATGGATTATGAATTCTGATGGTTAGTCAATGTTAATCATGATTGGGATAATTAACTATGACTATCCATAAATTTGGATGGATGATTTATAATTCCTTCATGAATAATTCATTAAGATGGGATTTGGATGGGATAGTCATAGTTATATTTATGGAAGGATTTAAGGTTAGTTTATTCTATCCAAATGACTTATATCAAAGCCTCAATGATTCAAATCACGAAAAGGGGGGCGATTACAAATGATATCCCAAGTTTGGGGGTATATTTAGTTTCATAACCCATAGGATCCATGTATGTTATATATGGTAACATTTACCATCAATATACCCCCAATGTTAGCATATATATATATACCATACATGGATCCTATGGGTAATGCACAAACAACAAGTTGTCAATGGGAATTTCAGGATCCTAAAATGGAGGTATTGTACCATATTTTTGGCAATTTTTTGTGGGGATATTCCTGAAACATAGGCCTTATATAGGCCAGTGAAGTTGTGCCCAGGCCGAATGGAGCCTCAAGCCGCAAAAGCACCGCCAGAGACGGACCTGGAGGACCTCTGATCGGTCGCTGGAAGTGGATTTATTCATAAAATGTTACATTATAGTTATAGTTATACATTATAATTACATGGTTTTTTCAATTTGTTGGATTTGTTGGTTGCAAATCAGCACGAAGATCGAACTTCAACAGCTGCAGAATGAAAATGGATTTGTTGGATTTGTTGAAGCTGCTTTCATGTTCCATCCATTTCCATCCCCATGGGATGTTGCGACGAATCCCGAGCGCAGCAAGGTGTGAGGCAACACACATTTGGGTGGTGCGTTTCTCTTAACCCCATTATATCCCATTATGGAGGAATAATTGCTCCATAAGTGACAGAGATGAAGGAATAATTGCTCCATTACCCTCTGGTAAACGTTTACATAGCGAATTGGAAAATGGCCCATAGAAATAATATGAAATAATTGATTCACCCAGCTAAAACATGGTGGATCTTTCCATAGTTATGTGGCTGTTTACCAGAGGGTAGATTCCCATAGTTGCTAGTGAAATCCCAATTTTCCCATGTTCCCAGAGTATTCCCATGATATTCCCATCATAACACCCATTATAATTGATTTACCCATTAAAAATGGTGACTTTCCATAGTTTTTTGTATGTTTACCAGAGGGTATGGAGGACATCATTACTCCATAAGTGACAGAGATTCTGTGAGGACATGGACAATGAGCGATTTGAAGAGAGGCAACGAGAGGCCGGGCGAAATTTCGAGTTTCACCAGGGCTCAAAGTGAATTTCACTAGGAATCACTGGAGTTTTACCTCGATAAGTTCCGTTTCGCTGGAGATATTGGTTTTTCATGAGGAAATTCGGAATTCGTCTCATCATGGTGTGCTGCATTGTGGGTTTTGGGCAAGACAATTCGATTGTACATCGCTGCCTTGTATCATATCTGGGCAAAATTGAGTGGGTATGATCAGATATCTATAGATATCTATCTATTTTCGGCTAGTTAGTTGTATCATATCTATCTATGGGTTAGTGGCTGGGTTTTTCGGCTGTATGGAACCGGCCGAGACGATCAAAGTGTGACTGCCCTTTGGCAGAGCATCTAAGATTATATCACCTGATCATCTATGGACTTAATCTTGTTTTTACCAGGTGATATAATATATACATATATAATCTAACATTATTCAATCATCAACTTCCGGTGATAAAACTTCTGATGTCTTTCTGTTTTATATCACCGGAAGTCCATATTTTTGTTGATGAACAAGTCCTCTGAGTTCGAAAGGCCCAAAAGCTCTTCGAAAGCGCGCAGCAAGATCCAAACTTCGTCCAGAGTTCGGGGACCTGGTCGTCTAGTTATTGACCTTCGATGGACTGGGTGTCATATGTGTCATGATTATCTGGTAATTTGTTACATAGCTGCATAGCTATTGATAGCATGGTGATTTTCCATAGTTATGTGGCTGTTTACCAGAGGGTATCCACTAAAGTGGACTGTGTAATGAGATAGAAGTAGGAATGATAGGGAATGATAGGGCCCAAACTTGCTGGAGTTGAAGACCCACAGATAAACTGGTCATTTGGGCCCTCATGGACACACCATCCCAGCTGGGGTACCCGGGTGCCCAGAGGTTGAACATCTCTTGCTGGGCCTGCCACTGGTATCAGCTTCTCACATGTTTTTCCAATTAATCCCAGTGGCCAGTAATCAATACATAATTAGATTGTTGCTGTCCCTAATCAATACAGCATGATTTCTGTTTAATACATATTCCTTTGAATTGTCAACATGTCTCCCCTTACTTAGCAATGAATACTATCTTAAGATATCATCCATGGCCTATGTTTCAGGAATATCCCCACAAAATATGGCCAAAAATATGGTACTAACGTACCTCCATTTTAGGATCCTGGAATTCCCATTGATATCTTAGGCAAACATTCAATCTTGGACCACCCAAGCTGCTAACATCCTGGCTCAGCTCTGGCGGCCTTCTCCGAACAACCGGAGCTGTTCCTGAAAGAGCTGAAGGTGGTCCCGGGAGCGGAAGGAAAGGTGGTGCTACAAAAAGAAACAGCAAACCGTTTTTGTATTTTTTTTGGGGGGTCATACATGTTTGTTGGAAAGTTGTTGATGTTGTTTTTGATCACGACTAGTTTGTTGGAAAGGAATGGAAAGGACAGGGGTTATACTTCTTTGGGGGTCGATCTTCAGATTCTATGTAGTTTGAGGATTTGGTTTGGAAATTGGCATCTGAACCGCAAGATTTGAGCAAGTGAAATTCTGAAAGGGTCATCAGATGTCAGAAATTCGCGTCGCGTGAATAGGCTGCTTCTCAGGAGCAAGGCTGTGGACTCAGAAGCAACCCATGGTGTCTCACACTTGAGAATTCTCCAGACATCTCCAAACAAATCCACCCAAAAAATGATGATTCTGCATGATTCCGTGGGATAACGCACTTTCCAAGATCTGAACTTTTGGGACCTGTGACTTATCTTTCTTGTCACTGCCTTCTGGCTAATAGCGGCTATGGCTCGGTGCTGACCACCCCGGAGGTTGGACGCGAGAAGATGTGCAGAAGATGAAGGCGCGACCCAAGAAATCACTTCAGCGGCCTGGGAATCAAGGGATCAGGTGCAAACAGCTTGCAGTTTGCGTATGTTCTATGATGTTCCCCCATGGAGATGATGGTGGTCCTGCTGCTGAAAAAGAAATCAATGGTGATCATGGAAATCTGTAGACACCGCACCTGAACTTTCCAGGATGTTCTGAATCTGAACGGCCACCATTCTGTTGCCTTTAATGTTGTTTGGAACTGCCAACAGAACTATTGAGGTTCCCAAGATGGACCATAAATGGCTGGGTCATGCTGGGTCATTGATGGCAACAAACACACGAAACACCATTTTTTTGATGGCACACATCACAAATTTCAGGCCGTTTGGCCATGTTTTTCCCCACGTGTTTTGACCAACTCATGGCCACAGGAGACCTATGCCATGATGGGCATCAACTTGGAGGTGATGCTTCAAGAGATGCGCGCATCTGCAGATGTCCTGCCTGCAGCGGGGGAACCTGGTGGTGATGGATTGCTAGGCTAGGGGTAGGGCTTTCAATATGTTTCTTGTTCCAATCTATCTGATGATTGATGAGGAGGAGGAGGATGATGATGATGATGATGAGGAGGAGGAGGAGGAGGATGTTGAACATGAGGCAATGGGCACAGGTATACTCAATTGACTAAGAACAATATAAATGCCAGCGTTTGACGTTGATCCTTTGATGAGCCTTGCTTTTGGTGGTGGTTTCCAAATTGTGGCCGTTTCAAAAGAGGAACGTCCCAATCTCATTAATACTTCACTTAGCAATGATTAAGCCAATGTTCACCCTTCATCCCATGAGTACTGTATGTTTTCATATTTTTTCCGGGATGGTTCCCAGGTTTACCCATTCCCATGGATTGGAACGAAACTCGAGGCTCAGAGAGAGCTCGTGGACTACATGCAGCAATCCCACCTTGTTTGTGCTGATGCTGCGAGGATCTGCCCACGGATCAGCCAGTGGTTAATGACCATGCTTGGTTAACCACAGTTAGGAAGTGGTAGTTTATGACCATAGCTAGTTATAACTTATAACCACAGTTATTGTGGGTTCTGACTATAAGTTAATGACCATAGCTAGTTAAACAGTAGTTAATAACTATGGTTTATGACTAAAACTAGTTATAGCTTAATAAGTGGTTATTAACAACCGTAGTTAGAGTTGGTTCACCCATTTATAGATGGAATAACCCATTGTTTATTGTGGACTTGCGATCACCAGGGATGATCCTCCAAGGACCCTCCTCGTCACGAAACCATGTTGAAACCCATGGTTTTGGGGATCCTCAATTTTCTGACCCCCCCCTTAAACATTGTTTTAAGGGGTACCCCATCCCCGCATCGCCAACAGAAGAGCGTTTCGTCACCGCGGACGGCCAGGCAGATGCTGACGGACCCCGACAGCGTCTTGGGCGAAAACGCGAAGGACACCAAGTCGGAGAAGGTCGACGCCTAGTGCCCAACGAAGCAAAAAAAGTCCCGCAGCCGCTGCAGGGTGAGCTGAGCTACAGATGATAAAAAATTGGATCATGGAGTGTGCAGCATAGGAAACCAGACTTGCACACAACACGTTTAATTGCTTCAGGTAGGGGGGAGAGTCGGGGGGGGGGGTCAGTCCAGATAGAAAGGAGAGAGAGAGAGAGAGTCGTGTTGTGAAAAGTACTGCAGGAACGCTGATGTGCAGACTCAGGAAGTTGTCTATACCGCGGTAATCTTATGGATTTCATTTGCCTCTCTCTAGAAACCTGCGGTGTTGATGCATGTGGACCTTTGTCCAATTATGGTTGCTTTTCTCCAATGAAAATATCGGTATAGCTGTAATGAAGAGGAATCCCCAGCCGATGGGATCCCACACCCATAGAGTCCCGCAGTTTTTTGCATACTGTGAAGCCTTGGATGAACAGGTGAAGCCTGGGAAGTAGAGAGATATTTAAGGCACCTTCAAACCACAAATCATGACGCGTTTGCCAAATCGAGGGGCCCATGGTACAGTTGTTTTTGCAACCCGCACAAAGCTGATTCCTTGGTTTCATTTGTTTTCTATTTCAATAATCAATGCCACTGTAACTTCTATGTTTGGCATGGGTGGCTTAGCCACCAAGCAGAAAGGCTTAGTATTTAGTATCCTCAATTCCATGGATTAAAGCTCAGTTCGGCCCAGTGTTCGATCCCGCCATGAACCCGCGGCGCTGGGTAGCATGGTTGTGCAGCAGGCGCTGGCTCCTGCTTGAAACTGGCGGCTCCGCATTGGTTTGCCTTGGCTTTTGTTGGTTATTTCGATTGCCTTGGTTTTGGTTAGTATAATATTAATATCCCAATCTAATGGAGACCAACAAATATACTGTATACATCTGTATACTGTTTGGGTGTTGTCAGAAAATTGGGCACTACAAATTCCAGTGACTCGGAGGTTCGTCATCGTTTTCCCAAACCAACTTGAGGGAGTTGGGATATTGGCCAATTTTGGGACAAATCCAGACGGTAGAAACACCAGAAAACAACTGGGTGTGACACTCAATGGAACCAGCCAAGGGCGATCATCGGCTTTCAAGCAAAAACAGCAGCTTCTTGGGTGAAAATGAACCGCTGGCAAACATGGTTCCAACATGGTTCCAACCCAATATCCACTGATGACGGCTTCACCCTGATGCTTCAGAGGTGGTAACCATCCCAATATGACTGAATTTCTGGTTGGGGAATTAGTTTCTATGTTATTTAAGGGATGGTTGGTGGTTTGGATTGCCCATGAAAAACTCCAGTTAATAGTGGTTAATAGTGGTTTAATTGTGGTTAATCATGGTTAATGAGATATCTGGTTGGTGGTTTGGAACCATGGAATTTTATGACTTCCCATTCAGTTGGGAATGTCATACTCCCAACTGACGAACTCATATTTTTCAGAGGGGTGCCAACCACCAACCAGATTGTCATTGTTATGATTCCTATTGTTCTTATTAAGCCAGAATGATGTAAACTAATGACTCACTAAGCATGTTTGCCTAGCCGCTTGCAACTGCTTGGATAGTCAACCAAGTGTTCCAAAATGGTTCTGGCCCAAGATGTGTCATATCCCAAGAACGTGCTACGACTAGTACAAGTTCAATATCATAACCTTTTCAATCCTTTTTGTCCATCCCCAAGAAATATCCCCGAAACCATCTTAAATGAACTTTATATATTATTATAATTATAAGATAAAATTTATTGTGGACATAGCATCTTCAAGACCCAAACATCTTAGGTGTCTCAAATCCACCCTTGAACCATGATGCCCCCCACCTTCCTGGTGCTACAGGCTGCCACGAACCTATGGCCTCGCCGGTTTCGTGGTATGTTGCGTGCTTCCCTGCAGGCGGATGAGAATTCAGGTTCTCAAAACGGACCTCCAAATGTCTCTCCAAATATCTCCAAAATCAACAACATGACTGGTTGGTGGTTTGGACCATTTTTTATTTTCCATTTATGGGATGTCATCCTAAACCCATTGACGAACTCATATTTTTCAAGATGGTTAAAACTTAAAACCACCAACCAGATGAAGAAAGAGGTCTTGGGATGGGTTTGCTCCATCCATTTCTTCTCATCTCACCCTGGAAGAACTGCTAAGGCAATGCTTAGACTCTGCCGCAGGTGCCTGGAGGGTCCCAAGGAGTCCAAAGATGACTCGCAGCTGAAGGACTTGGGGAAACGTCAGGCGGGGTCAGTTACCAGTTACTATACCAGTGAGATCAAAAGAGATTGGGGAGCTAGGAATGGGATGGGATGGGATATGGGATGTAGATGAATTTTGGGATATTTGATGGATATTGATGATTTATGATAATCCCATCAAAGGATAATCCTCATATGGGATATCTTGGAATGGGATGTAGATTTTGAAATTTGATAGGATATTGACCTCAGCAGCTAGCTGAATGGGTGAATCATGGCCCAAGTGGAAACACGGCTTGGTTTCCAGTGGATGTCCAGCAGATTGGATGATCCAAGTTGAATCCATACCTCGAAACATCAACCAAAAGGGTTCCTACAAGGTGGCCCTGGAATTATGTTTGATTTATGACTCTCCTTAAACTAGAGATATAATGATATTTACATAATATATATATATGATGAGAATATCTATCATCAAGCCTAGTAAAGTGTGACTTATCAACCAACTTCGCCAACCCACCTACTGACCACCATCCGACCATCGGAGTCCATCAGACGTTTTTTGAGATCGACAGGTCCTGCTGCTAGGCCTGGATGGTGCTGGAAAAAGCGCCTTCCTCTGGCTCTGTGAAAATCCCATCACTGCCACGCTGCCGGCCGGGGCTGCACAGTGTCGTGGCGGTGGAGCCGGGGTGCCATGCAGACAGGTTGGAGTGATCAATGGAAATAAGAAAAAACTCAGTTAAATACTATAGCAGAATTATTTTCACAAAAACTAGAAGCAAGTAACACATCTTAACACCAAAAAGTTAGAAGTGAAGTGGGATGATTTTCCTATATAACATAGAACAATGTTTCCCCAACTTTTCCTCAAGATCTCCACATCAAGCCCCAAATCTGTTGGAAGGCAGAACAGCTGCCGGCCACGCAAGGGGCCAAGCGACTCACTCGCAAGGCGACAGAATGGGGCGAGCATGTTTGGGTTTCTGGAGTGAACCCATGTTGAATCCCGTTTTTTTTTATAAATCTGATTCCACATCTTGCACACGGGATATATTCTTGAAACGGGGTTGAATTAATGATTGATTGAATCAACGAAGCTTGGAATCAATAAACATAGGTCTGAAGGAACAAGAAGAATTCGTAACTTCACCAACAAAGAATCAGATCTGACCAACAGATATATCTGCATTAAGCCCTGTTCTTCATTTCCACATTTTCCACTATGGCATACTATGGCCGTTGAAATCAGGTGCTGGGGGGATACACATCGAATCACCAATTCGACACAGCGATCTTCGGCAGGTTCCCATTGCAAGAGGCGTGGTGGACCTGGATCTTTGCGAAGTCGGCGGCTCGGAAAGTCTCCGCAGCTTCTGGCCGCATTACATGTGCCCTGGCGACGATCTGATGGGAGCCATGGGGATGCCACGAATCCTTAAAGTGGCGAGGTATGAGTGATAAAAGGTGGTAACCCAAGATAACCCAAGAACTTCATGATGATAGATTCATCCAGAATTCCAATTCTATAGTATTCATCCAGTAAATGTCTGCGACGCTCGTCGTTTTGCACCCAATCATGCGCTTACTCGATCCAACGTTGCAGGGCTAAGTATCAGGGACCGCATTTACCATCATTTACCACCTTTTTCCATTGGATGAAATCTCTGAAAAAATCCTGGTGATTCCAATGATAAGTCCATTTCCACAGTCGATCCTTGAGCCTTCGAGGACCAGAGAGGTCAGGCGCATCGTCTTCTTCGTTGATTGCAGAGACAGCCGCCTACAGGACGCGGAGTCGGAGAGTCGGATTGGAGGATGAAGGCCTTGGGGGTTCAAGGATAAGATCTGAAAATGTGGGATATGCCAATCAATGGCCACTCAACAACTAGGGAAACTGAAGGATTAAACCATGCTGGCCATGGTGGTTCTTCAACCAAAAATGAGGGATTTTAATGATTAAATCATCCAACAGTTGGTGGGTTTTCCGATCATTTTCAACATCCCAACATATTCCAACGATGATTGATATCAGCCGCCAAATCTGTGGACCCAGCAAAATCACCAAACAGGTGGTGTTTCCGTAGCATTTCCGAAAAAATCAGTCGCAAGCTGCCAGGAGATCGCCGATGCGATCGTTGCTGTGCCGCAGAAGCAGTTGCTGCTTGTGGCCAGGGCGGCTGCGGGAGAGGAGGCCTCCAGTAATGGTGATATGATGGGAATATCATGGGAAATAGAATGGGAATAGAATGGGAACATGGGATTTCACTAGCAACTATGGGAATATACTAAATATACCCTCTGGTAAACTAACAGTTGGCGAAAATCAGAATTTATCCCCATTTGCAATAGGTAAATCAACTATCAATGGGCGCTGTACCAGTAGGATTTCAATCTGATGGGATGATTTTTTTGTTGAAAAAACCGATCATACCATTGGGATTCAGAATTTTTTATCTGTCAAGAAATCCCTGTGCGCAATGCTTCGGCCACTTTTGTTAGGTGTATTATTATAGATGAAACAGGCTGTGCCATGGCGATTCTTCTTCCCTTTTTTGTGACTTTCCACTACCTGATGTGACTTTTCCCGCCTGTGACGAAAAAAGTACGGTGCTTTTTTTCGGTTAGATTACCGGAGGGTATCTATGCCATTCCAATCACGTATATGACTATAATGATCCATGGATATGCACCGTCTAGAATATCAATAATAGCACTTAATTACACAACATGACATGTACTGCTAATTTTTCCATATTGGGAATGGAATAATCATCTCAACTGACGAAGTCCATCATTTTTCAGAGGGGTAGGGCTCAACCACCAACCAGATGGGAACTTGTGTCGATCATCTACTTCTGTCAGCAGATTCCCAGGCTGCGGCCCGGGAAATGCTGGCGCGGCTTCAGAAGCTCTTGGGGAAGGTGAGGGCCTGGTGGGCCTGGAAGATTGCCCTGGAATCCCATGCTGAATCCATGTGAATCATCGTATGTTTCATGAAAATTGACATTCCTTGAGGTATCCAGTATTATTCCTATCATTATCACATCATTATCTCATCATCTCAAGTAATAATAAATAAATAAATAAATAAATAAATATATATATATAATAACAATCCCAGGTTTGTACAAAGCCATTTGCCTTCTTCATTGATTAAAATGCAGGTTTCTTGGTGGTTGAATAGCCATAAACAATTTATTGGTCATATTCTTGACTATATCCATTATTCCATGATTATTCCATGATTATCCCATTCTATCCCATTCTATCCCATTCTATCCCATCAAAAAATCACATTTTGTTCCCATAAAACTCATATCCAAAAGAGCTCCCCATCATCCAAAAATCTGCGAAAAAAAAATCCAGGCACCGCCAGTTCTTTGGTGGACCTTCTCGCGGAGCTCCACGGATGCGCTGCTGAAGGACTGGCAGAACCTGGCAGAACCTGGGTTTCACCTGGGAAATCCATGGGAAATCCATGGGAAACTCGCCATTTTCTATCCAAAACTGGTGGATTTCTCATGGATTTCCTAGATTTTTCTTAGCCATGGTCAATTTGGTTGGACGGAAGTTAATTAGCCTTGGGTGATGTTGCTTGATGTCTTCCAGATTTGAAAGATAATGATCGATCTTGATCTGCGTTTCTTGGGTTCAAAATTACAGCCTGGTGTTGTGATCGATGTCAAGTCACTCAAACTGATCCGAAAAAGTCTACCAGCGGGTTTGCTTAGGGAAACGCTTCTCGACTCCTCCAACTACTTGTATTGCGGAGACTTCTGTTGTGTACTGAGAGTTCCCAACATTGGGGACAAACAAACATGGATGGTCTAATGCTTATGTAAACCCAAATTCATTGAACAGTTCTATTCTATTTATATATAGTAAAAAAGCAAAAAAAACCAGAGATTTTGGAACCTCCACTTTGACAAAGCAATATGTGTCTGGCTTAAGACATCCTCCTGGGTCTATCGGAGTCCCCTTTTGAGTCCCCTTTATGCCAGGAGATAGCTGAACTCGTCGCTTAAACCCTGGCGCAGCGACGTGATCCAAAAGCGTAGATGGTCCTTTTCCCACTGGTTGGTTCAACAATGGGAAATTGATGTTGTTGTTGTTGGAAATCCATGGGATGTTGTTGGATGATGTTGTTTACCACTGTTGGATGTTGTTATTGGATGATGGTTTTTCAGGTTCCCCCTTTATCCAACAACATCCAACAACATCCAACAACCGATGATCAGAAATCCTATGCCAAAGCGGCTTTCTAGTTTTCCTGAAAGCACAATAGTGCTGCTTTTCTCGGATGGAGAGACTCCACTTTTGACAGCTGACCTTGGTTCCAATTCCATCCAATTCCATGGTTTCATTCGTTGAAGAACCATGGAAAACCACAAAAAAATCATCCAATGGAAACCGTTTCATCGGATGATTTTTTGTGTGGTTTTCCATGGTTCCATTGGACGTTTTTCACATCGTTTTTCAGAGAAAACCTGATGATTTTTGGTCACATCCGTAGTATCATTTTGGGCTCCGAGCAACAAAAAACGGTGCTCCGTTCGTCTCCAAAAAAATAGAAAGTGACCTGGCGGCGGCTGTTCCAAGGTGATATTTGATGGATGGAATGTGAGTTTTTGCATCAAATATTCGAGAACAACATATGGCAACATGTTTAGTATTGAATATTGATGTATTTTTTTGATACCAAGTGATTTTTGTTCGTTGTTGGCCACGGTTTGCATGAAAAAAACACGTTTTCCTACAAGAAAGATGTGGTTTGCAACACACTGTTATCGGTCAACCATCTATTGCACTTAGATTGTGTTTCCAAGTGACCTTCCAGGCAACAACTTGAGACATAGACAAACACATCTTTGCAATGATTTTTTAAAGCTGGAAACAAAGATTTTTTTTATAGATTTTTAGCAAGCGGTTCCAACCTGAGGTCCTAGTCTCAAACCATCTCCAGCTCCATAGACCAGGCCTCCCAAGCTCCAGCAGCCGAGGTCCCATGGCTGTTCACAGCAAGATGTCGTGGCGCCGCTGCGCTGCAACCGTGACGTTGGGAGCAATGGGCCTTGGTTTTGTGGCACCACAGGCAGGACCCAGCAGGACCCAACAGTGGCAGTGGAAGCCCTTGGGGAGAATCCATCAAAATCTATACCAAAACTGGTGAGGATTGAGGATTTCCCCATGATTTTGATTGATTTTGATGATTTTTGATGAATTTCTTGGTCAGGTGGATTGAGCTATTGGACACCTGACTGGAGGAAATGCTGGCCCTGACCCTTCATATTGTGCTGCCTTTCCTTCTTGATTCTCTTGCCCAAAACATAGAAGTTGCAATATTACTTCAAAGTGACATGGTTTCACATCAAGATCAACCGGGCATCCCCAGGTTTCTGCTCTTCTTGCTTTTTCAGTAAAGAACAAAACTCACAACCACATCCACCACATTCCACCACATCCACCATGTCATGTCGAAGCTGCCAGGCACCCAGCTCCTCTGTGAGCCGCGTGACCAGCGCTTCCAGTGCCTCCTCGAGCGCCCCGAGTGCGACGCCAAATGTCAGCGCACCCGGTGCCGCCGTCGTCGCCGCAGGGGTCATGTCGCTGGGTGCTGCCCGCGGCCGCCGCAGCGCCAAGAAGTCCGTGGTGTCGCTGCGGGCCCGGGGTGGTCAAGAAGACACCCGCGTCTGCATTCCTTTGGAGGAGACCAGTTTGAGCTGGGACTCCACGGGTAACCCTGGGATCCAATTATCCAAGATGAGTCTCAGAAATATCTTTGGTGGCTCAACTCCTATTACTGGTGAAATCCAGCCGTTGATCAACCAGTGACAACCAGCCACCTGAGAGCCCCTCCGCACAGGAGCTGCGCAACACGGACGTGGAGAAGGTGGGTGGAAAGAGTGCTTCCCTGGGTGAGATGATCTCCCAACTCTCCGATGTGGGTGTGCCAGTGCCAGGCCTGTCTGCAGTGAAGGGGCTGGATTTGATATATTTGATGGACTTGGAGGGAAATCAACCAATCACCATAAGGAAGTCAAGACCAAAAAAGCAGGAGATTTTAGAAATTTACATAATCACAAAAGACAAGTGACTGAAACATACTTAAACTGTTACTTAAACCGTATTCCCTGCAGCTATTGGGGCTTCCACAGGTGGATTTAGCACTACGGCCTTCGCGTACAAGGAGTTCCTGGACAAAGGCCGGGAACACCAACTGGTGACCGGTAGCACCTGACTGGTCTGGATGACCATCGATGGTCTGGGTCCAAATTGGGTTATCCAAAGGTTGGATGAAAGGCGGGAACAAAAATACCAAAACTTCTACAAAGTGATACCCTTTGGTAAACTAACGTAGCTATGGAAAATCACCATTCTAAATGGGAAAACTCACTATAAATGGCAATTTTCAATAGCTATGTTAGTCATTACCAGAGGGTAAATAAAGAAATTTGAAGCGCTGAGCTTGGCAGGTGGAATCAACGCCTACATCAACGACCAGCTTTCAGACGAGTCTATTTATGAGGACGTGGACAAGCTCATGAAGGACCACAAAACCTGGCATATGTGAATGAATTGTTGATTCTCCGGGATGTTCAGGGATATCTCTAGGTGTAAAGGTTGTGATTTTATTTCTTCAATTTTGCCAGAATCGTCTAACATCATCCCTAACATATTACCTTGAATTTTGTCCCATGCACATTTCTCCAAGTTCACAAACCAAGCAGGTCGGCAAGGCGATTCGTGACAAGATCATGGACACTCCTTTCCAGAAAGATTTTGAGGAGGAACTGAAGGATGCTCGGACTTGAGTGGGATCTGGAAATGATGTCCTCACCATTTTCTCTGTTTGTTCCTGGATATCTGTAGGATTTTGGCACATTTATTGGGAGGATGTGGCTTCCAGATTCCATTAGGTTTGGCAGATTTATTTATCCCCTTTAACCCTTAACTGACGTTTAGCCCCAAAGTTCGATGTCTAGCCGTTATGTTGCGAGCTTTTTGATCAAGTCCTGCAATCTTGTCCGAAGTTTCGTACATTTATAGACATTTAAAAAACAGTTGTTCCACCACTCTTCAAGCCACCTATTTATTGGTCCATTGCACCTTTGGCTTCCTACGGTTCAATCTTGGTTTAAGATGATTGATGGTTGAATATGGTTCAGCACCAAAAAAATGATCCATCTTCATCTTATTGGGGATTAAGTTGGTTAAACGTTGGATTCCACCTTGGTTCACCCCATCCCTTGGGGTGAAAACCCCAGGCCCAGTGGCAGCGCGTCTCGGGCGGCGACGAGAAGTTCACCTTCGCGGTGAGGAGCTCTGCGACGGCGGAGGATCTGCCGGACGCGTCCTTCGCGGGGCAGCAGGAGACCTTTCTGAACGTCATGGGCTACGAGGACCACGACAGGTGGATGGATGGTGGGGATGGTAGGATGGTAGTGGGACTTAGGAATTTTTAGGTGGGGATGATGGGGATTGGAGAGTTGGGTGGGGATGTTTGGATTCGGATCAGGATATGAAGGAGAAGGTGCACCTGGTGTTTGCCTCCCTCTTCACCGATCGCGCCATCTCCTATCGCCACGACAGAGGTGGGGCACCGGCTCCGGTGCAGGGTCCAGGGATTGAGAGTGCAGGACTAGAGGAGTGCCGACTTGATGTTGCTGAGCACCCCAAACTGCTCTTTCATTGCCTTGGTGCTGTTGCATATCAGCTGCTCCAGCTGGCTCCTTTGGAATGAGCTGAGGTGAGATGCTTGGAATTTTCTAGGAGTAGTTGTTGATTTTTCTCGCAAGTTGCTAGGTGACATGTCCAACCCATCTTCAGTACTGATTTCACGCACATTGCAAAGTGCGGTGCGATCCGTCAATCTTCCCCACTAGCCGGTTGGTGTTTGCTCATGTTTGCTCCACATCCACCTTCATCCCGTCTGCCATCCCATATCATCGAAGGATGCCAGCCCAAAGGTAGCTCCTCAAACAGAGGCCTTATTCCAAAAGAATCATTGGCCCCTCATCAGCAACCCTCCATTCATGGCTCGTTGGTTTGTGGACTAAAGACACCAAAACGGATGGTCGATGGCCAAACGGCAAGGAGCCGGTTTTCCTTTTTCAGGCAAATGCAGCTTTAGGCATGGATTACTACAGTCGCAGGGTTTTGACTGGTGCTGCAGTGGATGGCAGGGTCACAGAGCGCTTTGGTTCTGCTTTGAGTTGTGAATGTGGATTGCGGTCTCCTGATCGAGAACATCTCACTTTTCACTGCCAAGCGCAGCCATGGGATGGTGAGTTCAGGAGCGCTACTGAACGTCGTTTGCTGGTTCCACTTGTGGATGCTCCTCCTGTGTTGCCTTTTTCCAACATGGTTGCAGATCCTGCTTTGGTTACTTTTATTCAGCAATTCGATCCTCTTCAGCGACCCACCTTGGGTTTGGACGGCAGTTGTATCATAGCTACTTCCTGTGATCGATGGCAAAGAGCTAGCTGGGCGGTTTCGACACTTTCAGGCACCACTGTTCAAGGTGCCGTGACTGGTTTTGAGCAAACCACCTGCTGCAGGTGAGCGTGCTGCTCTTCTGCAAGCTTGTTTAGCCTCTTCTGCAGCTAACAGACCGGTGATGCTCTTGATTGACAATCAGGCTTTGGTGCGGCGGCTTCAGCGAGGCATTAGCACTGGCCGTTGGGAGGGTGACTTGCCGCTTTTCTGGCAGCGGATCAGCGGCTTATTGATTCAGGGCACTGTTTGCATTTGGATCCCTTCTCACAACAAGGTGCCTGACTGGACACCACCAGATGGTTGGATTGATGTTCATCTCTGCCGCGTTCTCAATGCGACAGCCGATGCTCAGGCAGGTGAGGTGTTGCGTGACTCACGCTCCATGATCGCTGCGGCTGTGCAGCGACATCAGCGAGCCGTGGCTTGGGCTGCAGCAGTTTGGCGTCTGCAGCGGCTACGGACTTTACCTTTTTGGCAAGTCGTACTTGATCAACAAACATTCCTTGCGGAATGCTAGCTGGCGCACTGTGTTTACTTCTTTTTTCAGGCAGGTTTCGCTTCTTTTGTGTTTTGCTTGGAGAAGTATGGGAACTTGATTCTCGCAGATGGCATACTATGGCGTCTTAACTACTTCACTTCGGTGAGGAGCAGGTTGACGTCCGCTTACAACAACAACAACAACCCTCCATTCCCCACCTCAGGTGCTGTCACCATGGGTCACCATGGGTCACACCCATAGTTCATCCCACGGGGGCTCAGGGTCAATGGCCAACAGGAACCGAGAACGATTGGAGGTACCGATTCCATATAACAGTGGCCTATGTTTTTGGGCTATGTAAGGGGATATACCCCGAAAATATGGTCAAAAATATGGTACATATATGGTACCTCCATTTGAGGATCCTGGAGATCTCCCATTGATAGGGCACTGTGGGTGTCAGGTTTCGAACACGAGAAGGTCCAGCTCTGCGCGACCTGCCAAAAGATGGTGCGCAGCGAGACTGGCTCAGCAGGAGTGATGCTCCCTGGCCACCCAATGGGAAGCACTGGGAATGGGACGGTGGGATGCCAAGAAACATGAAGTAAAACTGAGATGATTGACGTTTAGGAGTGACATTTTATGAAATAAGCCTCTTCAGACTCAGGTGTTGTTATTTTGTAACGTTGGGTCACCTTGGGTTGTTGAGTATATTGTTGCATTTAGAAATTTAGTGGCTGCAATCCTCTTCAGTTTTTCTTCGTTTGTCCATGCACAGCAACCCCCCAAAGAGATAGAAGTTAGATTAAGTTTGTAGAATCCAATTCAGACATAGTGATGAATTAACATGACAGAATTAACTACTTGATATACTTATCTATATCATTCTATATCATTCTATATCATTCTATATCATTCTATATCTATGAACTGCTTTTCCTATGATTTTCTATCTGTTCCACGGGGGTTCAAGATCTGACTCAGGTTCTCCCTAGACACGGAGAGCGGCTTCAAAGACGTGGTCTTTGTGACCTCGGCCTATGGCCTGGGCGAGACCGTGGTGGGTGGCACGGTGAACCCCGATGAGTGGCGCCTTGGTTGGCAGGGCAGCTGGTGGATGGTGGATGGGACGTCAAAAATCATGGATTTTCTTCAATTTCGACGCCATGTAGTTCGGGGATTTCCCGGGTGTTTGACATGTTTGACGTGTTTGACTGGTATCAGACATCTGTAGATCAAGTATTCAATGCTTTAAACTGAGAATCGTGAAGATCCTGAAGTCAGGTCATTGCAGCTGTTGATTGTCACTGCTGGTCATTTTGTGTGACTTAAAACCATGGACCTTGGACCGAAATGCTGGTGAAATCTGAAGATCATCTCTGAGGTACGTCTTCAAGCCGACCTTGGCGGAGGGCAAGAACTCCATCATCTCCCGGACCATGGGGTCCAAGTTGGTGAAAATGGTCTACAAGGCCCACTGTGAGTCTTGTTTGGACATGGGCCCATGGGCCCAATTAGACACTTTGGGACCTCAAATTTCCACTCCAATCGCCTCTAGAAAGTTATTTTTGTCTGGTGATTTAACAGTTAGCTCTGGAAAATCACCACTTTTTATAGGCAAAACTCATCGAATTATATCCACCATGTTCCAGGTGTTCCATATAGCATTTGATAGCATTTGTTTTGTTCATTACTAAGAGGATACATTGAAACGATCATGGCTAATTCATGGCTAATGAACAACAAATTTGCTACATCAGCTTCCATACGGCTTGCCTTGGAAACCTTGAAGATCCGTTTCCGCTGCCACAGGCCGGAGGCGGCTCCGAAACGGTGGACACCAGCGAGGAGGAGCAGAACAGTTGGTCGGCCTCAGATCAAGAGGTGCCTCACTTGGGACCATTTTTGCATGGGATGTTCGATGATTTTCTCCATCTTTTGATGGTTTTCTATATGGTTATATATATATATATAATAATATAATATATATGGGAATATATGGATTTTCGATGATTTTCTCATACTTTTCTGGGTGAAATGATGAAATCCCACAGTTTTTGGTTGGTTGAACCCCAACTTTGTGTGGGTGAAAGATTCGAGGAAATCATGATGTTTGGTGGGTTCACGGTTCACGTGTGTTTTTTTTGCGCATGACATCACCGACATCACCAATCTTGGTTGTTATTCATATCTTCTCATTTCTTGGTTGGTTTGTATTCCCCATGTGTGTTGCTAATCTTCTCTCTTTAGTTGAAATCTTCTCCAAACTGGTAAGCTGTGCAGTTTATTCTCCCAGCTGAGCTGGTGCTGCTTGATCCAAACCTGGAAAAATACGACTCGGTCATTGCTAGAAGTGTACCCGACCAGTCATCTGGATGGTTGCCTCTTCTAGCAATGACAATGGTGAGATCAGTTTCCTACTTCGTTATTGCCTCTTGAATTCCAATGCCGGTTGGTCAGACATGCTTAAACCTGGTTAAACCATGTTAAACCATGTTAAACCATCTTAAACCATGTTAAACCGATCATTTCCCTTCCCCATGTTTTACTGAGCTACCTCCAGATTTTTTCAGGTGAAGGATCTGGCCGAGATGGCGGTGAAGATCGAGAAGCACTACGGCCGCCCCATGGAGCCGGGGGATGGGTTGGGGTTGGGGGTTCTTACGTCATGGGGGATCCCCAGTCGTCACCATGGGACCTTCATGACTTCGGATGATAACGTAAGGGGTAGCCCTATGACTGGATGGAAACCTCCGTATCCGATGGGTGCCCATAAAAAAAATGACCATTTTAGTCCTGGTTCCCATTTCCCACGCACGTTATAAATTGTTCGCCCATAAATGGGTATTGATGTGCAGATGGTTTAATCCCGTGGGCCGGCTATTCAGGTGGATTTTACATCATTTTATCAGGTATCTTCTGGTTGGTGGTTTGGAACATGACTTTTTTATTTTTCCATATGTTGGCAATGTCATCATTCCAACTGACTTTCACTCCATCATTTTTCAGAGGGGTAGGGTGAAAAACCACCAACCAGTCTTTGGAGTTCACCATGGTTTTCCCACAGTTTTGACCCATAGCCACAAGGGCCTGCCGCAGGACATCGAGTGGGCCCGGGATGGCGACGATGGCAAGCTGTACATCGTGCAGGCGCGACCTGAGACGGTGGCCTCACAGAAAAAGGTCGGTGTCATCGAGGAGTACAAGATGTTGGAGAAAGGCTGGGACCGGGAGCCACATTTGGGGCTTGGTAGGGATATGTTCAGGTGGTCTATAGTTGGGACAAACGCTGGAGCATTTTAAATTAACCATTTCCCAGGGGGGTTGTTATGGTTGGTGGGGTTGGTGTTTGAATGGTTTCGTGAGGGAAAACATGAGAAAACCGGGGGTGTTTAGTAGGCACATTTGTTGGTGGTTGGTACCGGCATGGATGGCACAGGTATCGCACCTCAAGCCTGCTGGCGAGTGAGCTTCTAGAGATGGATTTCTTGTCGTTCCATCATGAGAGAAGGGACCAAATATATCCAAATATTCATTGTGCGTCACTATGATATCATATACCGGTAATATCTATTAATATCTAATTGAATCTAATTTGCTGGTGATTGTTTGGTTCAGTTCCCGAGAAAGTCACAAACCCGAAAAGGAGATGACCGGCAAAAAAAACACATGTGCAGATATTCACATGGATTTTGCCTGATTTTGCCAATGCTTCCGGAAATTTGATGATCAAATTTCATGGTTTTCTATT